ACAAAATATGGCTGATGTTTAATATTTTCCCCATTTTTCAGCAAGCCAAAATCAGCATATTAAAATTGAAGCTCCCAATAGCTCTTTTTAAAAAACAAATCTATAGGCACTTGACTTGCATATTGATTTCTGTTGCTTGTTCCTCTGGTGGACTACGTTTTGAAACAGAATTCAGTCTTGCCTTATACACAGGGGATCTTAAAGTCAAAATCTCTTTTCTATATACTGGTACTGTGTACTGTATAGATAGTTTATAAATGTTATTTCTGCAGACACCTTCTTCCATAAATTAATCACACTATTTTAGAATCCTAATGCCAAGTCAGCAGATTTGCTTTTGAATTATGGGCAACTGGAAAATGGGTAGCACTGTTCACTCTAGACACACTTTCTTATACTTAGTGTAAATAAGACTGACCACTTTAGATAACAGGCTGGATTTTTCTTGCAAACCTATTATCTTTGCATTTTAAATCTATGGCAAAAATAATGTGACACTATAAATGGTCCTGCTGTGCACACTACTTAACCAATTGCTCTGACAGCACAGTTTTTTATCAGCTTGACGGACAATAGTTGACATTATGTATAAGCATGTGTGTGTATGAAAGATGTTTGTGTTGTGTATGAGAAAGGGAGAGAGAGAGAAAGAAAGCTTATTAAAATTACCTGAGGATATCCCATATCTTATGAATCTGCCGTAATTATCATATGTTTATGCTTAGGTATAAGATTTGTCAAGAAGGAGATATGGATGGTTATTCTTTTTATAGAAGAAGCATACCATTTTCTGCTTCAAGCATAATCTTGGCTTCTGAATGAGGAAACTAGGATTAAATCATAATGCACCAATTAGCTCCAAGTATAGATTATTCTAAAATCTGTGTGCTTTTATTTTTTTTTCTTGCCATTTTTAACTCAGAAGTTCAAGATTGCAGGCAAGTGACATGGGAAAATTTACGACTAACAGGTAATTGGGAAAGCATCAATCTGCTGGCTTTTATTTTATTTTATATTTTGAGGATCCCAGAAAGTTAAAAACACAAGCAAATGTGACTGTGAGTGTTTCACTGGAAATGTAAACTTTTTGTGTTCTAGAGTATTTGTTTTAGTAAGACAAGTTTACACAACTTGTGGAGAGTTATTTTGTTGGAAAATAAATTTTGTAGCTTCTCTGCTTTTTTCTATATTTGACCATCTTTCTATTCTAATCAACTTATACATTTATCTTTTACTTATGGGCTTTACTGCTACAAGGTTGCTGAACCATTATGATAATTTCTACATTTTTGTCAGAAACAAATACTACTACAAATGAAATGTCATTGCATTTTTCAAGTGATACTGTAAATAATTGTAGTATTTACAGTATGTGTGTTTGTGTATGTATATATGTGTGTATATATATATATATATGTATATATATATACACACACACACACATATACATACATTCCTTGTGCATGGACAGGCTAGCTTTAGTTCTGCCCAGCATCTTTATTAAATAAGTATTATAGAAAACAATAAGAACAAAGGAATAAGCAAATTGACTTAACATACAAAGCATAAATAAGATTTATTTATTTTGGGAGAGAAACATCATTGTCGCTAAAAACATGTATTCAATTCTCCTGAAAATTCTCCTTAACATGTATGAAAACTTTGTCTTTCATAAATATGCAACATATTGAAATATTTGGGGTAAATTCTTCAAATGTAGGCATAGTTTCAAAATGTACTGCAGGTAGTATTTCAGTGTTGTATTTGTAAATTAATTATGTACATAGTGTCTTAATATGTAAAAATCTCTATTGCAGAAAAAATTAGTATTTGACTTCATACTTTTCATTCTAATATCCAAGCTACAAGTCCAAATTTTGTATTGGAATCTGGTGGCTACAAAGAAATATATATACATGAAAAGGAAGATAATTAAAGTATGAAAAGAGAAGCAAGTGCAACCTGGTAATTCCAAAGAGTAATTATCAGGAAATATAATTGCAGAATTAAAATAATGAAAAGTAATGTCTCTTTTGAGTTGAACTCAGCTTTCTGGGATTTAATAGATATACCCATGTAGTTTTATTGGCAAAAATATAAAAGGGTTTACCGTTGCTGCCCTCTGCATGTTTTTTCTAGAATCATAGAATTTCCATAGATGTAAGAGGTTATCAAGTCCAATTCCTTGCACACTGCAGTAATATGCACTGGAACATTTTTGATAGATGATTATCCAGATTGTTTGAAAAGTCAGGTGAAGGAGTAAAAAGCACTTCATGCAGTAACCTAATTCACTGGTTGATAGTTCCTATTTTCAAGAAACTGTTCCTAATGTCTAATCTATATCTTTGAAGTTTTATTCCATCAGTTTTAATTTTACTTTCTGGTGCAAGTCAGAATAAGTTTTAACCCTTTACAATGTAACAGCATTTAAGATATTTGAAGACCACTATCATGTACCTTTTCAATTTTTCTCTTCTTCAAATTAAGTTTACTTAGGTCTTTTAATTGTTCCTCATAGAACTTAGTTTTCACTGTCTTGGTGGTCCTTCTCTGGACTTGCTTCAGTTTATTTCAAATTTATATGGCCATCCATCTCACCAATAAGTGACTCTGGGTGATGAACAACATAAAATAATTAATCTGTATTTTTTTTTAAAAAAAATGGCATGAACAGAACTGAATGCAATACCCCGAGTGAGACCTAACCAAGGCAGAGTAGAGCAAAATAATTATTTTCCATAGTCTGGACTGCTAGTACTTCTATAATCTGGACTTCTACTGCTACTTCAGTTTGTTCGGGGGGAGGGGTGGAGTCATTTCCCAACTAAGTTTTCAAAGCCCCCAAATATCCAGGTTCTTGTTCTTCAAGATAGAAATGTATATTGGTAGCAAAACTAAAATGCAGATCTTCCCTTACGCATATTCTGGGATCTTTCAAAATGAATAAAAACAACAGTTTTACAAGCTTAGGAATAATTTTCCCACCAACTATATAGATATGAGAGATCATACCAACTTCTTTGCCTCTCTCAGCAAGTTAAAATATAAGATACATAAAATCTTAGGTGAAAATACATTATTTTGATAGAGGTAAAATATTTAAAATAAACAACTGTTCACTGTAGGACAGTAGACAGTATTGTACTGTATGTTTTTAAGGCCATGTGGGTGGGAGCCCCCCAATTGCACTGAGAAGTGACTTCCACAGACAAAGATGGAACAAAAATGAATAAAACATTCATTCAAAGCCAGGCAAGCCAGATGCTGGAGATGGGTCTCTGAAGATTGAGTGGGAGGAATCTTGCATTCCCTCAAGCACAAAAGAGTGAGGACTTTCAAAATAAGGAGAAACAAACCGACAACCAGTGTAAAGATTTCAAAATAGGTGTTAAGGGAACCTCCAGAGATTAACCTAGACGTAACATTTTATATTTGTTCAGGTTTCTGAGAGTTAACTACAATTAATGATCATATTTTTCCCAATTACTCTTCAAAAATGTGGAAGGAATTATGTAGCCATTCCTTTTTTATGAGATAATGGGTTTTCCATTAGGAAGCAATTTGCTCAAAATTTTGACACACAGAAATTACTATATTTTCATATTGAAAAAGCTTGACTTTATAATTTAAGTAATTTTTTTAGGATGAAGTGCTTCAGATCTCCTTTCAATACAGCTTCTTTCTGTTATCAAAGAAGTAGCTGACCATGTTTTTAGGTTTCTGCCCAGGACTGAAAAAAGAGGTATTACAAAATTAATGGAATTCTATAATAACATTTGAGTTGTACAACACTCTCTCTCCAAATTCCTGGTGTAGTACTTGTGATACTTTTTTCTTTTTGCAAATCATAAATGTAGTTCCAAAGACAACAAAAATACTTTATATAACATATTAATTTGTATAACATATCCATATATCTCATCAAAAGATTCTTGAGTTGAGCTTTGCTAGATGCTCATTTTGTAACTTAATCTTATTTTAGATGCTTAAATGCTACCATTCCCAGTTCATTTTTCCTCAGCAGCATTGAAGCATTCTATGTCTTCAGCAAGATGAATTCTATGAGATTTTTACCTTTGTTAATCTTTAATTCTACTTTCCTGAACAGGATTTTTATTTACCAAATCACATTGGAGTACTAATCTTGCTTGAAGGCCTGTGATTCCCCAGACAATTTTTTTCAGAACTGGAATCATTCATCTGAATTCCTTTGCATACAAATAGAATATATCAGATATATCAACTAACAAAAATCAGATTATCCTTTAGGTTTTTTTTTAATATTGTCTATTCACTATTTATAGATAACATACTAGATTATGCTACCTGGAGAAAATGCAGCAAACATTATGAGTTGAATGTCACTAAAGCCACATTATTTTAAAACCTAAACAAATTATTCCAAGCATTCTGTCCCCTTATTTTCATTTTACTTCCATATGGAAACAGATTAATATTTCTAATTGTTCTATTTTTCTATCGCTTTTCAACGAGTATCCAACACCTATTTTTGTGCAGATTTAAGATGTTTTTGTAACTTTACTCCAAATTCCGCATTTTTTAATCACTTGCATACATTACAAAATTACTCTCTATTCCCTTGCCCAACATAATATAGTAAGATTTCAATAGGACATTATATTTAAATTATCAATAAAAGATGCAGGTCTGCTATTCTTGTGTCAAAAAAGTACCATAGAACTTGAAAAGTATAATCAAAATGATACAGTATGAAACTAGTGGACCTTCCTTATGTTGGAGGGGAGGGTGCTGTTAAAATAAGTAAGGAGACCATAGTAAGAAAAATAAAATCAATCTTGATGTGGGTAATGTTGACACATATACATATTAAAATCCAAAACAAAAATGTTGGAGAGTTTTTCATAAAGCATACACAATTGTACAATTGCTTTATCTCCAACATGGCAAAAATTGCCAATAAGTGGCTTTAAAGTGAAACTAAAATTTAAGAAGGACATGAGTATTCAGAAGACAAGTCAGAGGATTTCCCTTGCTTCTTCAGCTCAGTATTTCTTCTTTGATTCTGCTCCAGAATCAAACACATCTGTTATTGGAATGTCAGCATTCCTGAGATATAAGGGAACATGCACTGTTGTGCTGATAGGGCCAAGCAAAACACTTAATTTTGTGGAGAAGGAGTTAGAAAGCTCTCAAATTAATGATAATAAAAAGCAGTCAAATGCTCACTTAATACCAATTTTGATTAAATGTTCTTTAATACCATAAAATTGTTTTTCAAAAGCAATCTGTAAGGTGTTATAAAGTGTATTAAAATCCATTCAAACTTTATTTTGAACTCAGTATGGTATAGTTTGAAAGTAAGATTACTACTGTGTGTGATAGTAAACAAAACTATATGGATAAACTGAGCAAACAATTTTCCATAATTAGTGACCTGTTGTTAATGTAAAACCAAATGAAACTTTAAAACTTTCCAAATTACAGTGGCCCATTTCTGTAGACTTGTTTCTCCAACCTGCGGATTTCTCCCAGGAGAAACAGCTGGCTGATTTTACTGCTGCTATGGCAACTATGTCGTCAGTCTGTTGGCTTGGCAACATAGCTGGAGCACAAAGCACAGTTTGGAACACTCCAAAGACTGAAAGGAAAGCATATATTTATTTACATTGATGTATAAAGTAATTTTCATTGCACTTTTATAAATTTTGCAATAAAAAATCCTATACAGTCTTTGTTTGCTAGACGTATCAAATCTTCGTAGTTGACATTTTGCAAAGAATAACAGTCAATTCCCTGCAAAATAATTTCAGATGGATCAAATCTCTGTAGCAGTTTCAGCTTCTCAGGTGACAGTCCAGCTCCCATCATGCCTTCTCCTCCAACATGGGGCTTCTTATAGGGAGGGGAAAAAAGAAACAGTTGGTTATTTGGCTGGTCACTATTTAACTTAAAATAGAAGCTGATATTTATAAAGGTTAGTCCTCTACCTTTGCAATAACATTATTGTAATATTTTTATAGCAGAAAATGGTCTTGCTATAAATCCTCTGTAAAGAACAGTGATTCAAAATTATATAAAAAGAAAAATGAAAACTATTCCTCAGCCATAATATAAGAAACCCTAATTTAATGCCAACCAAAGTGTCCTCAGTAGGTACAGTTTATATCTATATACATCATTTTATTAGTATGCTAAAAAATAACATAGTAATAAAATAATAAAGCATAAAATTGCTATATTTATTAGGAAAAAATAAATATAGATGAAAAGGGACATGATTATATTAAGTTGCCATCTAAAATAATTGAGTTCCTTTGTTGTAGGTGGAAGCCATTTCCTATGTTAAGTAACAGAACTGTATTAAAACTTAGCCTCACTCTCAGAGACACACAAGGGAATATGTCTCATAGAATTCAGTTGCCCTTCTGCTATTTTCAATTCTTTTGCAGGAGGCAAATCGGTATGCAACATAACTGTCAGATCTATTCTTATGAATATTATGGCAAAACCGGGCAGTTTGCAGGCTCTGATCCACGCCCCACCAAGCAGGTAGAAGATACAGGGTTTAGGGTTTTTTTAACTTCTGCATTTACTGTTTTATTTATCACCAATGGACCTAATGCTCCTACTTCCTATTTTTCCCACAACTACACTGAATCGTGAGTTGGGATAACCTTGTCCTAAAAGGATTCCCCCAAAGTCACTCAGTCAGTTTTCATACCTAAAGGGGGGGGGGGGGGGTAGAACTAATTTCATTTAATCTAGCAAATCAACTTTAATACTTAAAATATATATGCTAATAGAAATGATTACCCAGTTTTAATTTGGGTACTAAAAATGCAAAGGCAATCCTTTAAGGCTCAGCAAATTAAGGACAAAGTCCACTTCCTTGCCTTACTGGATTCAATACCTCAACAGTAGTTTGTAGCAGGAAATATAATATTGATTGGGCATGCTTTGCACAAAACTCTTCCTGATACTAAAAGCCTATTGCAATATTGTGAATTTTTTTTCTCTAAGGTATGTAACCATCCCGAGAAATTATGAGGTCTGCTTTCCATTTCTAAAGTAGATTGATGTTTACTTTCTTTCCTAAAGTATTTCATTTTAGCATTTGTACGATTTACAGAATGTGAATTTCAAAAATAAATGCAACATTCAGTCAAATCCATCCAACTTCTGTTCAAGTTGGCTTAACCATGCAGAGTTTGTTTAAAAACCCAGTCAATCTCTAATTTTTACAAAATGCTACGCTAGGTTGTTTGTTTTTTAATGAAATCACATAATAATTGAGGAACGTTTCTTAGCTGTTTAGGACAGGAAGTTGAAAAGGCTGAAAAGACTCGTTCTGGTTGATATGTGTTGTGATAAACCATAGTTTAGCAACATATTAATGCCTTCTCAAATGTTTTCTATTTTTTTCCCTTAAGTACTTCAATTTCTTGGAGACTGCCTGGATAGGTCCCTTCAGGTTTTTTGGCAAATTTTTTCGGAAGTGGTTTGCCATTGCCCTCTTCCTAGGATTGAGATAAAGAAGGGGTGTCTAAGTCAAGGCCCTCCCAGCCTCTGTTTTCAACCACGATAGCCTCCTACAGCCCTTTGCCAATGAAAATGGAGCTCTGTTTTCACTGGCAGAGGGTTACAGGAGGCATCGCAGCCGAAAACAGAGCTCTGGAGACCGTTTTTGCTGGTAGAGCACTCGGGTCACCACAGCACCCCCAGCATGAGTGACGTCAAGCTGGCTACGCCTACCCCGGCCCCCGACATCAAACAACCCTCAATGAAGTTGAGTGTGACATCCCTGAGATATTACCAGGGTAACCAGAGTAGAACTCCTGGTTTCTAGCCTGAGGCTTTTACCACTGCACCAAACTGGCTCTCTATGGATATAAGCAAAATATGGGAAAGAATTTAAAAATTACAAAATATATTTTTCCTAGGCAGCTGGATAAAATTGTTAACTACAAGAAAAAAACAAAAGAAATGATAGATTCTTGATAACATGATAGACACTTCTTGATCTCAGCTCAATCTTTATAGATACTAAAATTATTGTAATTCGGGAAATTCTTCCACAAGATGTTTTCAAGTGACAATGTAATATAAAAATGGGAAATAAAGTTACATCGATCAAATTTTACAAAAAAAAAGTTTGTTCTTACTTGTGACTTTAGTTGGAGGCAAGGAAAAGTTTCTAGTGCCCAAGCCACTTGCTCTTCATTCTCAGAAAGGGTAATTGTGCACGTACTATATACTAGGATGCCGCCTGGCTTTAGCAGTTGCACTGCCTAGGATGACAATCAGATTTTCACTTTGTAGTATTTCACAAATAACACTATTTTTTATAGATTACAGATAGTCCTCAACTTGCAACCATTCACTTAGGAACTGTTTGAAGTTATAGTCGTGCTGAAAAAAGTGACTTATGAATGATTCTCAATCATTGCAGCATCCAAATAATCACATGATCAAAAATTGGGGCACTTGGCAACTGGCATGTATTAGTGACAGATGCACTATTCCGGGGGTCATGTGATCACTATTTGCATCCTTCCCAGCTGGCTTCTGACTAGCAAATTCAGGGAGGGAAGCTTAACAACTGCATGATTTACTTAACAACTGCAATGAGTTACTTAACAAGAATGGCAAAAAAGTCACACAATTGGATGCAACCCATTTAACTTAGCAATGGAAATTTTGGGCTCAATTGTGGTTGTAAGTCAAGGATTACCTGTAGTTTAAAAGCTTCTCTACAGGTCAGTGGCACAATGCACATTAATTCTAATATTGGTTTTCGAAGATTCATGACTACTAATCATAATAGAACCAGCATAAAAATGTTGCAGAAAGTGAAGAACTCTTACTACGTCCACAACCTTGCCTCTATTTGCATCCAACCTTTTCTAGCAATACCGTGCTATGGAATGGTAAATATTATTTACCAGGAGATATTCTCAGAGGATGATACAATAATTCCCAAATTCTTTCTCCTTTAGGAGAAAAAGAAGAACCTGAAGACAACTTCTCTAAAGAATTGTATGAAAGACTACTTTCATTTTGGTTCAATGTCTTCCAATAGATAGCAGAAGACAGCTGAATAAATGAAAAGTTGAAGTTGCAATTTAACTAATACAGCAAATATCTTGATTCCCCCCCCCCCCCCCAAAAAAAAAATTTCAGGAATTGTTGTACAACCAAGGTACAGAAAAGTAAAATTCTTTAACAAATTTTTTTCCTGAAACTAAACTTATTTCTGCCTACAAGGATATGAGAAAAAGCTTGACAATCGCTTGTATTAATTTTAATAAAATGTATTTTTTTAAAATAACTCAGTAATCAACTGACAACTCCCAACCATCTTCTTCATATTTTATTTAATAGCTTTTACTATTAAACATACCACTCTAAAAAGCTTGCGCTGTAAAGGCTGATAGGAAGTTATTTCTTTTAAAGACCACGAATAAGCCAAATTTGGCCTCTGTCCCATTCCACTGCACGGAGCATCAAGAAGTATCCTGTCAAATGACGCAGGTAAGAATGGAGGTCCTTCTGCAAAAAAAAAAAAAAAGAAAAAAAAAAGAAAAGAAATATTTCAAAGTCTATAGTTCACATGTTTTGCATAACTAATTATTATTAATGAAAAATTCTGAGAATTGTTAATTAAAATTCCATGAATCATATCAATTTAATGTAGTTAATACAGTAGAATCTAGTTTAATTTAACTAGTTGAACCCTACTGGCATTGGTTTAAAGTCTTTTTAATTAACTGTTATAAATAGCCATTGTATTTGGATGGAATTCTTATTTATCACTATTATTTATGGAACAAATTTATATACTGTAGCTGCATAGATGACTCCAGGTGGCTTACAAAATTTTAATTATGGTTGTTTTTGCCTTTCACTCTATTTCTATGTAACAAGAAAATGTGTCCTGTTTAATTGGTATACAAGTTGATCCAGTCTCCTTAAACCTGTATCATGATGTCAAGTCAAGATTTAATATGTGTATTGAAATCCTGTGTAATAGACCAACACTTCACTTGTATTGATGAAAAATGAATCTAAGTACTAACATTTTGAAGTTAGATCTTTGTAGAAAGGCAAAATATGTTTATGAAGCAACTGATGTTGAAAGATTAAGTTCATTAAAAAGACATTCTATCTGTTGGACAAGTAATTTTCCTACTTTAGCCATTAAACTGCACTACACAATGATGAAAAATACAATAGACCTTTAATAAAAGTAGATCCTTCTTCCTCATTTTTTCCCATCTTATGTGCTCTGAGTTGCTCCTATGAAACTAGTAAGCTTCAGAAATTTTCATACAGGTAGTCCTCATTTAATGATCATTTAGTGAGTTACAATGTTGCTAAGCAAATGGTAGATAGGACCGCTCTTCGAAGTTACAGGTGGCAGCGCTCCCGCAGTCATATGATCAAAATTTGATTGCTTGGCAGCCCATCAGCATTTATTACTGCAGCATATATTTCAATTCCCCCACCTGCCTATACCTGCCTTCCCATCTCTGCCCTTTTGGCTACCCAGCACTCCTGCCTACCTCTGCAGCCTTCTGCCCTTCCAGCTGACCTTTGTCTTCTTCCTCCAACTGCTGAGGTGTGCCCAACCTAGGTCTCATAAGGCCATCGGCATAGAAGTGTGATGTCCTTGCCTAATGGCACACAGTCCTCAGTCTAATAACTACACATGATACTACCAGGAGCCCTAATGCAGTATTGTGGCTGACTCTGCCCACAGCCTAGAGTTCAATCCTGATGGGGCTCAAAGTTTATTCAGCCTTCCATTCCTCTGAGATTGGTAAAATGAGGAGCAAATTGTTGGGGGGAATATGCAACTAATGCTTTACATTGTAAACCAGTGATCCCCAACCTTTTTGACGCTGCGGCCCGGTACCGGCATCAGCTGGGCGCCGCGGCCCGGTACCGGCATCAGCTGGGCGCCGCCATCTTTTTTTTGATGAAAAAGTGCTTCCGGTGAGCTTTCTACCCGGAAAAGCTCACCGGAAGCGCTGGCGCCGCCATCTTTTTTTGATGAAAACGTGCTTCCGGTGAGCTTTCTACCCGGAAAAGCTCACCGGAAGCACTTTTTCATGAAAAAAAGATGGCGGCGCCCAGCAAGCCGCGGACCGGTAGGAGTTGTTCCGCGGACCGGTACCGGTCCGCGGACCGGTGGTTGGGGACCCCTGTTGTAAACCATCCAGAGAGTGCTGTAAAGTCCTTTAGAGCGATATATATGCCTAAATGTATTGTAACCAGAACTACTGTTGCTAAGCAGTGAAGCCATGCAATGCTTTGCTTAATGACCACATCACTTAGGAACAGAAAGTCTAGTCCCACTTAGATTTGTTAAGCAAGGATTACATATACAATTTTACTCACTGCATCTTACTGTGTCATCCAAATCAAATTCAAGTTAGCCTTGATATCAACCTGTATTATTCCATGAACAATAATAGCAAAAAGTCACATTACCTTGTCCATCTATTTTGCTATCAGTAAGTGCTTTAGTACCATCATAACAAAAAGCTTTAATACAATTCAAATTTAGTAGTGCAGCATTTTGTTCAATCTTTTTCACTCTGTCTGCTATCTTGTCCAGCGCTATTACTTCCCCCTAAAAATTAAAAATCAAAAGTTTTGAAAAGTTTTGAAGTTTTAAACCACTGTTAAAACTGCTAAAGTATAGAAGTTGACACACATAATTTCAAATAACTGAAGTGCAATGCATAAAGCACCAGATTTACACAACATATAATCTGTTTGAGCCCCAATTCAGTATACACCTTCAATGCCTGCATCTGAAAAACGTGGTGACTTTCTCCATGTATCTCAGAGTCATCACACCATTCCTCATTTCTTAAGCAGCAATGCTTGATTTAATATGTTACAGTTTACTCATGGCAAACTTCACTAAGACCAAGTAATATGTTTCATTCAAATACTGTAACATAGGTCAAGCTGTAATTTTTCCATGTTAATAGTCTCTGTGCGAGGACCCTAAAAACTACACACTTAGGAATGCAAATGGATAAAAACGTCAACACCACACATAGACACTTAAGCAGAACATTATTTCTGTGTTTCAGGATTGTGTTCTGCATGCTGGCAATTTCACCATACTGGAAAACTAAACGGTTCAATGAACATAACAGCATAACATCCGGATTATAATTAGAACTATGAATTAATTGGAAGCACAGTGCCAAACAGCACAGCTAACATAAGTAGAGTTATCACATGGGCATACCAATATTCCTCACTGCACAAACTGATGCTGCATTTTGAAACTTCCAAGTCATCTTCCAGAACAGTCCCATGTAAAATGCATTGCAATAATCAAGTTGTGAAGTGACATAGGCTTGAGTGAATATTTGAAGACCCGTGTGATCCAGAAAAGGATGCAACTGTATATTAGATGGAGATGTTGAAAGGGCCTCTTAGCCAAAGCTGCCATCGAGTAAGAACTATGAATCCAAAAAGATTCCTAGATTGCACATCAGCCTTGAATGAGAAAGTGTGATTCCATCCAAGGAAAAATGGAAAATTCCCAGATCTAGCTGACCTAATATTCACAACCATTCAGTCCTGACAATTTTTAATCAAGTTCATTGACCATCCCTCCATATCCAGGCCAAACAGTCTTTAAGCATTGGCATAGAACTTTGGCAGCTCAATTGGCCAGCCTGGGGTCAACAGATATAGTTGGTATCATTATTGATTATACTGATTATACTCATCATTGATTATACTGGACCCTAACTGGCCAGTAAACTAATGGTGTAGTTGTTGGAACAAGAGGGAAGAAAGTGTTGAACGCTGTATTATCCCAAAAAGGAGGGTTTGGGGGACAATTCATTCCCCTTCTGCCAACACCAACCAGAATGGCTCTGAAGGTAGGAAGAGAACCATGTAAAACAAGGCTCCAAACTACTATTCTTTGAATCCAATCCAGAAGGATACTAAGATTGAATGCATAAAGACTTGCCATGAAATCAAGGAGCACAAGAAAGAATGCACCACCCCTATCCAAACCTGCCCAGATTATATACAAGTCGAACTGAGGCTGATTCCATATTAAATACTGAAATCTGACTGATATGGGGTTAGATAATCTTTGTTCCAGGGGAATCTGCAACTAACATGGGAAGATTGGAGACAGGTCATTACCAAATGGCGTGGATCCAGGAATAATCTTGAGGAGGGAGTCTTCAAGGCCAATCGCACCACCCCCTTTCTCTACCACCACAGCACAAATAATTTTCCTGCTAATGACCTAAGAAGGATCTCAACCCAATAAGCAGATGGATCAACCAGGTAGCCTTCAAGAGTAACCAATTCAACTCAACTCAGATTATACTCCAAGACTCATACATCAGTCTATAAAATCCTAGTTCATTGGACTACCCACTTGAAAGTTCTTAGTTTCCTGACATTTTTAATTGCAATAAATTTTTGCTAAATTTGTATTATGTCAAAATCTGCTTACTCTTTCTCCAAGATAAGAGCCCAGAATTTTTTTTAGAACTCATGGCTGTTTATGGCTTATAGGCAGCATATGGTTAGTAGCATGGGGACACATTCCAAAAATGAAAAAAAAAAAAAGGACAAACCAGCCAAATTCAACAGAAATTGAGTTTAAACCTATTTAATTTTAATTAAATGTATACCCCCCACATATGTATGGGCATATTTTCAAAAAGCACCTATTTTCATTTAGCAATTTATTGCTTGAATTAGTAGATTTGTGATAACTTAACAAGATCAATGTCCCTTTAGCAAGTCTATGTAGCTTATTCGATTAGAAAACATACATAAATTTCAAATATGAAAGCTATGCTATTTTGAATTATCTGTGAATTTCAGCCAATGCGTGAAATAAGCTATGCTAATAAAATACAAGCAAGTTTCTGAGGTGGAAGGGAAGGAGGGAAAGAGGGAAAGGAAAGGAAAGAAAGAAAAAGAAAGAAAAAAGAAAGACGCTATGCTAATAAAATACAAGCAAGGAAGGGAGGGAGACAGAAAGAGAAAGGGAAAGAAGGAAGGGAGAGAAAAGAAATAAATAAAAGGAAAGGAAGGAAGGAAGGAAGGAAGGAAGGAAGGAAGGAAGGAAGGAAG